GTAGAAGTAATAACATTACGATGTTTTTGAGTTTAATAGTAAATTATTAATATTAAGAAATTAATAGTAAATGGTAGACTTCCTTTTGAATAACATCAACCAGTCTAACCTGGTTGACAACAATGAAATTCTAACAGCAAGGCAATTAGGACAAATTAATAAAAATATACAAACATCATTTATATCAATTTGGAAAAGTGAATTACAAAACGACAATCAATCAAAACAAAACAAAATGAAATATAAATAAAGAACATACAGAGAATTAAAAAAAAAATTGCTTTTGAAACCTACCTTGTTACCCTGCAAAATATTGAGATTCGCGAAAATTTAAACAATTCCGCCACAGTGACCATAACTTGAAAACTGAGACTGACAGACACAACGGAATACCCCTTGCTAATAGATTATGTAACCTTTGTGATCAGAATCAAGTAGAAGATGAGTATGACCCCGATAGAAATGTCTTATTTGAAATGGCAAAAACCAAAACTTTAAAAATTTGTCACCAAAGACACGATTCATAGTCTGCTAAACAACAGTGGTCTAACACTCCCTGTAGCAAGGTACCTAAAGAAGTGTTTTGAAATAGGACAGCAACCCTAGTGACAATTTTCTTTCCCAGTTAAGTTTTCCATTTTTTCTATCTTTTTATTGTATAATAATTTAGTCTTAATATTTTCTTTCTCTGTTACAGTAATGTATTAGCTTAGTTTTTTGTATGTTTTTATTTTATTTATTTAATTTTGTTAACCTTTTATTCTTTCTTAAACATTTGTAGCCATTGTCAATCCCTCCGGGGAATGTGCAAGTGTTAATAAAATTAATATTATTTAATTCATGCCCCCGCACATTAGTGATTGGCCTTGGATAGTTGAAGAGATTTTTAAATGGTCTAATCGATAGAAGTATTCGCCGTGACTCAAGACTTTTCATTCGGGTGTATACAACGCTTACATGTTACTATCAGGAAGGTTTAATGTCTTGTTTGTATTTGCACAATGTGAAAGAGGGGTTTATTGTCAAAATGTACTAGTATATGGGTGGTTGTATGCATATTGAACTATACAAAATTATGTCACCAAACTGTACGTTTTGACGACTCGTATGCAATTGTAAGGTTATATTTCTTTTATACTCGGAAGTGAATCTCAGCACTGTGCTTTTTATAAATGTTATGGTTCGGTTAATAATTTCCTGGAAACTGTACAGTAAATCACAGACTGACATTATTTTTTGTTTATAGTTTTTCTAAATTTCAGTTTTTATTGTTATATTTATTTACAGCAATAACACTTTGTGTCTGTTGTGAAACCATTTCCAGTTATTATGAGTGTGTACATGACAGCTTTGTCCTACACAATAAGACATGTATGGATATGTGCGAGTATGTTTCATGGGTTAATAGACCACTTCTTTATATCCCACAATGTCTAGTAATTCTAACTAACTACTGTTTCACAAAATTTGCATAGCCTTGCTTCTACTCCCATATTGTCCTTAATAGTGGAGGTTAATGCAGATATATTGTAAATTACACAGAGGTAACACTACAATACATTTCCCTTTACATTCCCTGGTATTACACAACAATTTATAATTTATTAACCAGTTCTCTTGTGATTATTTGAATCTTTGGCAGTGATACAGGGGAGGTCGTCACCTGCGCATGTGTCAGATGACCATAGCGTGCCATTGTTTATAAACAAGCGTCTGCCCATGAGTCTTTACGTTTTTAGCATGCGTTGTTATCATCGCTTGGGACGTGCACAGGTGACTACCCCTCCCCTTTAACTTTAACTGAAAAAAAAATCACACAAACTGAATATATTGTCGACACATTAACCACAACCACGATCAAATCCAGCAATATTAACCACTTTCTGGGTTGGAACACATTCGAAGGGTTTCATCTGTGCATCAGCGACCGCCATTATCACTGACTTGATGCTAGTGAGGGACTTTGTCGATATGGTTTTGAATTTCGGTGTTTTAGTTTAAA